ACACACACACACACACACACACACACACACACACACACACACAGAACCCAAACTTACCCCTGCCCCTCTATTTTTGTTAAAATTTTTGATGCCAGTAACAATTCTATTGAAGTCAATGGTAGTCTTTTCTTTGACCTTAATTTGGCCTTTAAATTAAATTAATGGAGATATCCTATCTCCTAGAACTGGAAGGGACCTTGAAAGGTCATCAAGTCCAGCCCCCTGCCTTCACTAGCAGGACCAAGTACTGATTTTGCCCCAGATCCCTAGGTGGCCCCCTCAAGGATTGAACTCACAACCCTGTGTTTAGCAGGCCAATGCTCAAACCACTGAGCTATCCCTCCTCCCCTTTAAATAACTTAATATTATATGTTTGGATACTTAAGTATGGTAGGTTAATATTGTATATTATGAGTCCCTGTTTTCATCTAATAGAGCTAGGTGAATGGTATTGTGCTAGTTATGTTTACTCTGTGTTCATATATTACCTTGGCAACTAAGTATGTGCCAAATTCTGCCACCCTTAGTCATGATCAATTGATTTCAAAGATACTACTTTTGAAGTAGGGCACTACTCATTGCTACTGAAGGTGGCAGAGCCTGACCCAATATTTGTCTGATTTGGTCTAGTAATGGTATGCAGTTGATGGTTATTAAAAGATTACTATTTGGATGAGCTTATGTACAAAGCTGAAGTTTCCTACAGAAAACCCAAACTTTACATAGAAAAGGAAGTAGCTACATGAATGAAGAGACAGAAGATATACATTTTTGAATTTTTAAAGCAAAGCATGTGACTCTTAGGATAGAGTTTGGTCGACTTAACTTTTATTTGTAAAGAGGACTTACCAATGGCTGAAAATAGACACATGACTATAAGTATGAGGACACACCAAAGGACATCAATATTCATCTGTCTTTCAAGCTTACTGCGCTTGTAACGTGGTCCACTGTTATTTAACAAAGCTTTGGTCTCGTGCCCTGCAGAAGCAATACATTAAACAATATAGATATTTGTTGACAGTCTAAGGAAACTATCAATTGAACATGTAAATTAAAAGAGAAAAGCTGTCTTTTACCTGCATAGATTACTATCCCTGTAACCTCTTCTGTGTTCCTAACAGTACATCCACGCAACAAAAGGTTTTCTTTATATAGTCCATCCCTTTTCCCACTTTTATGTACACTGCAAAAGATTTAATAACAGAACTTGACACACAGAATCAAAACTTTCAGTTACTGAATCACATCCCCACTGAGTAAAACAAATCTGCGGATTATCCCCAAAGCTTAAATAGTCAGCTACCCATACACTGGCCTAAGGACAAAGGACTCTGGGATTCACAAGCAGTTTTGACACCACAGATATTCCATGGAGGATATATTTGGGTCCAATGAAAGGGAAGTGAAGGGGAAGGATGTACGTGCATGAGTGAGAGCAAGATGACTGCACTACATATTTCTTACTGACTGCTCTTTAAAGAAGAAATGGCATGGACTTTATAATTATGGCGGTTCTAGTTGTGGCTGTACTCCTGAGTTGAGTTTTGCACTTACAGTACTATAAAGATTATTTTTGAAGAATTCTACAAAATATTTTTATAAGTATCCCGCGTGTCTCTGTTTTTTTTTCTATTTTCTAACCAGTAAATGTTTCTTTTTCCCTTTCCAAGTCTCAATCTCTTGAATTCCCTGGGCCCTTTTGGCCCAATTCTGTCTCTGGGAACTCTGTGATCCCTTTCTCCTTGCTCTTCTCCATTCCCTCCACAGCCTATTCACCCTTACTCTCTTTGGCCCCCTCACTCTGATCTCCTTACTGCCTGCTAAACAGGATCAAATTTAAAATTCTTGGGGTTCTAGGCACAGAATATCCCGAAGTCCCATCCGGTTATAACATACTTAAACTTTCCTGAGATGATTAAAAACATGTCATTTAAAGAATTAACAGCATATGGGAACAACACAAGCACCATAGCCAGACATTAAGAATGATATGTTTAGCTAAAAATTAAAAATTCACAGCTAACAGGTTCTCACTGCTGACTTGATATTGTATGTGAATTTAGACATTAAATGCTCTAGCTATTCCATGCAAGCACTGACAGAGAAAAAAAGATAATGAGTTCACTACAGGGGAACAGAGGTGGGTGAGGTAATTGATTATTGGACCAACTTCTGCTGCTGAAAGAGACAAGCTTTTAAACAACATAGACTCTTCTTCTGTTGAACAGCTGAGAATCAATAATCTCTGGCTCGTGTCAGCATTTAGATTGTGGAAAATAGTTTTCTATCAATATGTGCATCTGAGCAATTGTTAACACTGCTGACTCCAATTACATTTAGGGAATGTGCAGCACATGGCACATAGTCTTTTGGTGGATTTTCCGTGACAGATGGGCCTGCAGACTATTGGAACGATCAGTCACATCACTAGCATTATCATACAATTGCCCACAGCCGTTAGACTCATCCAAACCTAGGTTATTTATCATAGCCAGCACAGCTTCAGCTAGGTTTGCCCCTGTGTGGTTCTCAAGTGGCTGAAACCCAATTATTTGGCCCTCTGAACGAGAAATCAGAAAATGAATGTGAGCTGGTCTGCATGTGCTACAGCAATGCTGAAGAAACAATTACAGAGAAATACTTGGCTTGCTGCAATTCTCTTACTATGGAGTTTTTAATTTTCTTTCCCATCAATTCAATGAATTTGTCACCTACAGTTGAGGACAGGTAGGATGGCTTTCCCCTTCTGTCCAAATTTAGCAAAGTGGTCAGCCAGACATGGATCAAACTGCAGGTCTATAAAAGTTATTTGACTTTTCTTCTCCCCCAAATCTCTTCCATAGCTTTTGGATCCTAATACTTCATCCTGACCCTGGAAGACAAGCCCACAAGTACTTAAACTTTGTAACTGTCACCACACACTGAAGAATGTCTCTTCAGTACGGCTGTTCTGAATTAAACTGGTGTGCCATAGCAGAGTCAACCCTACCAGATTGTGATTTTTTTAAAGTTTTAATCGAGTTAGCACACAGGTTCAGTGTTCTGTACCCCTCTCATGTTTGAAAGTTGCTTCAGATGTTTTCAATTCCCAAATCTTTTTGAAAAAGCGTACAATGCACCCGAGAAAAGCTTAATTGCAAAGCAGTAAACATTTCCAGTAGATGGAGAGTAAATAATCCAATATCATGCAACAACTTCACCACCGAAGAGACAAAATGAAAAAAGTTCTTCGGTGAACACTCTTTTCTTCTCTGCAATGACCTGCACAGAAATCAGGACGTTTTCTACCTCTGTATTTCTATGCACAGCTGAACCTTTAGCAATCCCAAATAGTCTGTTGTTTTCATTGAATTTTCTCCACAGTGTGGGATATGTGGAAATTTGGATGTTCTTTTTATCCAGGTAAATATAAGAAGTCTAAGATGTTTCAAATTAACCACTAAGTGGTAATAAGATCAGCCTCTATAAACAACTGCCTGACCACCGAAGCCAAACAGAGAAAAAAGTGGGGCATCGGGATATATGAAAAACTCTTAGTAAACAAAATAACATCTATCCTAGCCGAGTACTTACTGTTTGTTATTTATGTACTGACAAAAACTGCATTTACGTCAGAGAAACAGGGGGAAAATGCCTGGGTGAATGGATTGCCACAAGGGAAATATTAAGAATAAAAAAATAACTTCTTACATCAGTAGCACTATAACATTGCTAAGGGGAATAAGGGGAGAAGAAAAGTCAAATAACTTTTATAGACCTGCTGTGTATGAATGAAATTCCACATAACAAACTCCAGTATCTTAATGCTGCAGAGCAGATGGTGAAGGAAAATTGGAAATATTTTAACTACTGTGCATTCATATAAACAGCACCGAAAGTAGGATTCTTAATTTTTCAAAACAAATTGGAATGCAGAGCTAATAAATAAAGTGAAATGTCGAGAAACTGAATGCACTAGAATAAAGATATCTAACTGCTGTTGCTGCATAATCCAACTTTATTTTTATGTTTATTTTTCTATATGTTATTTTATAGTAGATTTTGCCACCCTTAAGTATGGTACAGTTTAACACCATGTATTGCAAATCCTGAGCATTTAAAAAAAACCCAACACCATGAACCAGGCCCCCAATATCATGAAATTGGTTAAAAAGGTGAGATTTTTTTCATTAAAAAAATTGGGTTCTTTTTATTTGTCTTTGGTTTATGAGCCTTTAAGATGCACTTGGGTCATGTGTTCATGTTTTTCTTCACAACCTGAGTGCTAGAAACTTATGCTTTTTAAAAACAAATGCTGAGATTCTAACCTTATCACATGCCTTTAGGAGCTGTGGCTTTAAAAACCACACCAAATATCATGAGACTAGCAGTAAAATCACCAGAATTGGCAACACTTAATCTGTGGAAACACTGAGACTACTCTCAGAGTAAAGGGCTGCTCATTTGAGTAGCCCTCAGTGTGTGCATAAAGCATTACACAGAAAAAAAGAAAACACACTCCCTGCCTCAAAGAGTTTGCAATCTGATTTAGATGACCAGGTGAGAGAAAGAACCATGGTATTGCCAAGTGTTTTAGCAGTGGGAAGGTGTGGATTTTAGATATGTTATAAATACAGCAGTGATTATATCTGGCAAGAGACCAGAACTGAGGAGAGAAGGAAATGGAACTAGTAAGATTACCCCAAGTTTGCAACTATGAAGCGCAAATGGTTTCTGCCACTCTAGTAGAGAATACCCCTCAGCAGTTCTAAGATAGCAGAACACAATTTCATTTTATTGATTTCTGAGTTACCAAAATTCTGCTTTTGTCCTCTCTCATCACTGTCCCATCCCTTGATCATCGACTTCCTAATGATGCTCAGCACAATAAGCAGCAATCATTCACTGCCAGCTTGGAACGCTGAGTATTTGGGATGTATCAAAGTCTTATACAATCTAGGGAGAATAATTTGTTAAATTATCCACAATGAAACTGCAGTAATCCTACTATTCTGAGTATTATGCCATCTCTTCTTTTTAAGACCAAATCCTCCTGAAGCTTGACTTGCGAATTAGTAGGATGTTAGCTTAAGTTTCCAGTAAAGTCTCCAAATTGTAGTTAACTTCCCTGTTAATAAGTGGACTTGATTTTCACAAATCTACTGGAAAAGTAATAGCTCTGGTTTGTGATTTTATATCCCACACATGTTCTTTATAGATGACTGTTAATGACAGCGGAGAGCGATATATATACTGTTCACTATAAAACTGTGTATACAGTTATAACTAGGGCCCTATCAAATTCAGGGTCCAGTTTGGTCAATTTCATGGTCATAGGATTTTAAAAATTGTAAATTTCATTATTTCAGCTATTTAAATCTGAAATTTCTCAGTGTTGTAATTGTAGGGGTCCTGACCCAAAAAGGAGTTGTGGGGGGTGGGTATCGCAAGGTCATTGTAGAGTGGGGGTTGCGGTACTACTACCCTTACTTCTGTGCTGTTGCTGGCGGTGTAGCTGCCTTCAGAGGTGGACAGCTGGAGAGTGGCGGCTGCTGGCCTGGAGCCTAGCTCTGAAGGCAGAGCTGCCACCAGCAGCAGCACAGAAGTAAGGGTAACATGGTATGGTATTGTCACTCTTACTTCTGCACTGCTGCTGGCGAGGCGCTGCCTTCAGAGCTGGGCACCCAGCCAATAGTCACCACTCTCCAGCTGCCCAGCTCTGAAGGCAGTGTAGAAATAAGGGTGGCAATAAACACTGCAACCCCCCTAAAATAACCTTGTGATCCCCTGCAACTCCCTTTTGGGTCAGGCCCCCCAATTTGAGAAATGTTGGTTTCCCCCATGAAATGTGTATAGTATAGGTCAGTGGTGGGCAACCCGCAGCCCATCATGGTAATCCGCTGGCAGGCTGTGAGACCGTTTGTTTACATTGACCGTCCACAGGCATGGCCGTCTGCAGCTCCCAGTGGCCGCGGTTCGCATTAGTAGGAGCATTGCCAGCAGATCGAGGGAAGTGATTATTCCCCTCTATTCGGCACTGGTAAGGCCACATCTGGAGTATTGAGTCCAGTTTTGGGCCCCCACTACAGAAAGGATGTGGACAATTTGGAGAGAGTCCAGTGGAGGGCAACAAAAATCATGAGGGGGCTGGAGCATATGACTTATGAGGAGAGGCTGAGGGAACTGGGCTTATTTAATCTGCAGAACAAAAGAGTGAGAGGGGATTTGATAGCAGCCTTCAACTACCTGAAGGGGGATTCCAAAGAGGATGGAGCTAGGCTGTTCTCAGTGGTGGCAGATGACAGAACAAGAAGCAATGGTCTCAAGTTGCAGTGGGGGAGGTCTAGGTTGGATATTAGGAAAAACTATTTCACTAGGAGGGTGGTGAAGCCCTGGAACGGGTTACCTAGGGAGGTGGTGGAATCTCCATCCTTAGAGGTTTTTAAGGTCAGGCTTGACAAAGTTCTGGCTGGGATGATTTAGTTGGAATTGGTCCTGTTTTGAGCAGGGGGTTGGACTAGATGAACTCCTGAGGTCTCTTCCAACCCTAATCTTCTAGGATTCCATGAATTTGGTAGGGCCCTAGTTATAACATGCTACCGGCACAGGAAAGTAATACAAGGGAATCTCAAGCTTACTTGTCTTGTTATTAAAATATTTCAGTTGCACTCAGCAGCTCTCGCCCACCTCATGCCCAATGTGTTCTTATTCATTTAGCTCAGATAAAACACTGAATTCAAACAGAACACAATCTGTGCCACTCCATAATAGTGCAGCATTTCAAACTGATCTGTTGATGCTCAAGACCCAAATCTATTTTCTTTCATCCATTGACTGGGCCTTCCCTCAAAAGAATAAGGAGGAAAAGTTGAAGAATCCTATGGCAACCTTTCCCCATTTTACCCATCACTAAACAAACAGCATTTGCTACTAATTTTCATTTGTACATAACAAAGTAAATCACAGTCATCCACTGGTGTTCTACATACTCTTAGAAAATGACATGGAGGAAACTAAGCCATGGGAGAGCAGAGCTGAGGGAAATACAACCAATTTATTTTCCTCCACTTTTCCCCACCCCGTCCTACAAATGATGCACTAACTAGGTATATAGAAAAATGATGAGCTATTTGGACATGGAAATTTAAGGAAAGAAAATTACAAACTAGGGGATGTGCACAGAAAAAATTCAAAACCAGCGCGGCAGGAAGTGGCGCGGGCGAGCGATGTGCTGGCCGCAGCTTCCCACCGCCCCCATTGGCCCGGGACGGCGAACCGCAGCCAGTGGGGGCCGCGATCGGCCGAACCTGCCGCGTCAGCAGGTAAATAAAACTGGCCCAGCCCGCCAGGGTGCCTACCCTGGCGAGCTGCGTGCCAAACGTTGCCGACCCCTGGATTACATGGTAGAAGTCAAACAGATGAAGTCACTTAGCCTAACTGGAATTGATTACATGGTAGAAGTCAAACGGATGAAGTCACTTAGCCCTGCTCTACACTGGGGAGGAGGAGGGGGGAATCGATCTAAGTTATGCAACTTCAGCTACATGAATAATGTAGCTGAAGTCGACGTACTTAGATCGACTTACCGTGGTGTCTTCATGTGGTGTCTTCGACGTGAGTCGACTGCTGCTGCTCCCCCGTCGACTCCGCCTGCGCTTCTCGCGGCGGTGGAGTACAGGAGTCGATGGGAGAGCGCTTGGGGGTCGATTTATCACATCTAGACTAGACGCAATAAATCGATCCCCACTGGATCAATCGCTGCCCGCCGATCCGGCGGGTAGTGAAAACATACCCTTTGTATGCTTTCGGGATCTTTTGACTCACTAAGCCTAACCCTTGTGGTTAGGAGGATTAGCACAAGTCAGTTTGACTTATTTACTAGAGAGAGTGTCCAGATAGTGTGTGCTCCTTCTAATTCATCCAAGAGAAAAAAATATAGGAAAATCATGGCATCTCTTACTTTTCCGTTGGCTTGAACCTTGAGCTTTCCCTAGCAATTACTCACCAGGGCATATGTGGGTCTGCTTGCCTCAGAGGCCTTTTAAGCAGATTCCCAGATGTCATATGTGGGGGAGCACTGCTAAGCACCTTCTCCACCAGAGACCATGCTGACTTTGGGAGTGGTGGCAGTGACCTTCTCTTTGAAAATAACAGAGAGGAGAGTGACTAGTAGTCTGCTACTCTGGAGGGGAGTAGCAGACTACTAGTTTATTCTATTCATGGTGATAACAGATAAAGGGGATGGGGATTTGCTCGGAGGAAGATGTGTGGCAGGGCCTGCTGGGGAAGGTTGATTGCGGCAGGCCACAGAGAAAGAGAGGCATCAAAACTTTATTCTGAAATGCACTTCTAACTTTTGGATGTCCCCCTATCACTAGCTTTACATTTATTTATTTGATGAATTGCACCATGGTTTTAGATACATTTGTATGTTGTGAGTTAACACCACTCTCTTATACATACACAAGATTACCAACTCTCACTATATTTGGTGTTTCTTAAAGCCCCAAGCTTCTGGAGTCATGTGATTATGTGAGGTTTTCAGCTTTTATTTAAAATTTAAAAATAATTCTAGCCCATATAGCTCCAGAGCAAAGCTGTAAAACCAGAAAGCACATACTGCCCCCATGTATTTTTAAAACAAAATCTCAGTATTTTTAGGCAAATTTTATTATTTCTGGGGCCCAAATCATGGTTAGCAATACTGTATATAGCTTGGCTATGCTCATGCTGGGTTTTGAATTTTTTTTATTTTATTCTTCTCACAACACTAGAAGCAGGACAAGAACTATTTAAAGGGTGGGGGGAATGAGGAAATGACTTTGGGATCCACAAAAGAGCAGAAATTGTGGCCATTATTAAATCAAGTTGTTGAGTGGAATAGACCATTTGCTTGCCCCCTCAGCATGCACTGGGTATGTTCAGTGCAGTTTATGACTGTGAGTATAAAGGCCAGCTTCAGTAATGCTTCACATTTGCAACATTGAGAAAGCTGGGGGCCAGGCCTGCCTCAATGTATTTTATTGTACTTTTTATCGCTCATTGTGCCGACTAGTATGCTGATCTGCATACAGGATACTGACCACCAGTACGGGTAATACTTTGGCATTCTGCTAGGGAACAGGCCAGCTTACTTCATTTTGAATGTGCTGCTGCCTGTAGAATTGTTAGTGTTTTAAAAGACGGGTGACGACTTTCTGGCATGCAGCTTACTAGAAGTCTTTCAAGACAGAAGTCTTGGTATCTAGAAGCCTCAGCAGTGCTGCACTGGGATGCGAGGTTTCCTTGCTCCTTGGTCTTGGTGGTGACTTTTCACTCCTCTTGGACTGTTTCTCAGGGGAATGGGGTCTTTAAGTTAAGTCTGAGTGCCCGAAGTTGCACCATGGTCCTGGCTTACCAGAGCTGGAGATGAGGAAGTCACTGGTGTGCTCTGAGTGGCTGAACCTGAGGTACAGGGGTGAATCGGACCCCAGAGAGCACTCTATGGGGAGCAGTTTCAGTCTGTCTTCTTTCAACTTCCTAGATCTGCTCTTGAAGCTGGAGCAAGCCTTATATTGCCATAGGATGTGGGATGCCTGCCTGGTCTACACTGGGGGCGGGGAGCAATCTAAGTTACACAACTTCAGCTACGGGAATAACGTGGATAACGTAGCTGAAGTTGACATACTTAGTTCTACTTACCGTGGTGTCTTCACTGTGGTAAGTCGACAGCTGATGCTCCCCCGTCGACTCCGCTTCCGCTTCTCGCTTCGGTGGAGTACCGGAGTCGACTGGAGAGCGCTCGGCGGTCGATTTATCATGTCTAGACTAGACGCGATAAATTGACCCCCGCTGGATCAATCGCTGCCCATTGATCCAGCGGGCAACGTAGACAAGCCCTTGGGGGAAAGACCTGTGGCAGGTCTGGCAGGGCTTTAATCCTTGGGGTTTTGGCATAACCTGCTAGGAAAGGCTGCAAGCAAACAGGGGCCAAAGGTAAGAAGGCCCTCACCACATAGGAAAACTAGAGAGGAACCCACCCCCGAAAACTGTACTATATAAAAAATACTAAAACTGAAAAACAAACAATAAGTAAGTTATACCAGCTCTCATCTTTACATGAAATGTATATCTTGTGTGACTAGTACAGGGCCACATTCTCAGCTGGTCTAAACTGATGTAGCTGCAAAGGAGCTATGCTGATTTGCACAAGCTGAAAATCTGTTCCATGCCATTGATAATGTTTATAATGTTTCAAATAATATATGAAGGCGTGTCCATCCTGAACTCACTGTTTGAAGCTAATGTGGATAAACAGTTTATGAAATCTGGGGGGAAGGAGGGTGACAAAAATAACAGTTTGTGAGATGGAAGGCAATATCGATTCAAAGCCCCATTTTTCAGTTTTTGCACTATTCATCTAGTTTATTAACAGTGCTCATCACTGCTAATAAGAGACACAGGAATACATCACTGTCCACTGAACAGAATTATTTTCTTTTTTTAATTTTAACTGAAGTTTAGACAAAGATTTAGGTAAAGAAGTCTCTCATGTTGTACCTGACTACAGACTGAAGAATGTAAAGTTATTCCAGGACAATATTTCCTAAGCCAACACCACCAAAACTAAGACAACTTTATTTATTTGCTTGAAAGACAGGAAGAAAACATCAATGTGAGTGGAGAAATATCATTTCTACTTCTGAGTTTCCTCCATGAGAATCATTTAAAAAGAAAAATCAGCCACAGACAACTTAACAAAAATAATATGCAACTGATTCCCTCCCACCCCCTTTCCAGGTGGGCTTTTTTTGCTCCTTGAGGGTGGTGGGGGAGGAATCTTTTATCTATTACCTCCCTGCTTCAGGCATTTATAGCCAGGGTATTAGCTGACCACTACTGACAAATAAATTCATCTTCAGGAATGGAAGTGAGAGACTTCTAACTCCATCTGAATGGAGAGGCAGGAGTTTTGAATGACTGCCCCAAGACATGGGGTATTCAACGAATAGATGCACCTTACAAAAGAGAACAATTTTAGCAGTTACTCTTGATAAGCAAGACAAAGCATTCCAAAGTTAAGAAATGCCAGAATTAAAGTTGCCTGTGCAACCTTAATTCAGCTCTCTTGTGTGTATGCATTGTGATACAGTCTTGAATTACATGATCACATACTATTTTTTCCTGTAAAACTGATACCTCTGTAAGAGCACAAGATGGTCCTGCTCTGGGGATGAATCAGGGTTGTGTAGTGAAGGAAGCTGTTGTCTGTAGGATTCCTGACTCATTTGTTTCAGAAGTTGGAAGCTGTGTAGGGAATGAGGCAGGGGACCAGAAGAAGAGAGCCTGGAAGTCAATTGTGTTTTATAGAAAAGGGGCTGCAGACTGAAGGTAATTATATGAAATACTCACATGTAACCTCGAAACCTACTTAAGTCATTGTTTGGCTTCTCACATTCAATGACACTGGTGAACTTCAAGGGGTCAAATTCAGAGTCCTGGAATCATAAAAGTGTTAAATATTTAATCTTTTCATTAAGCGTTTAATTTATAAGCATAATTGTTTGGGGTTTTTTTGCACAACATCCATAATACATTATGGGTGGGCTTTTTAAAAGCACCTCAATCAAAATGACTTAGCAGCACAAGTGTCACTGAAAGTCAATGAGACTTGTGCTTCAAAATTTCTTGGGTGCTTTTGAAAGTCTCCCCTTAAAAGGATGATTTACCACTCCCCAAAGTAAAGAACACAAGTCTCAAAGGCATGAAATAAACAAAAAGTCAGACTGAGGAGACATGTATTTTGGGTTGGAGAGGAAAGACCAAATTTGTCCGAGTAGGCTGAAAATATTCAAAGCATCATTACTAGGTTTCAAATACTTCAAATTTAAACAAAGCAACTACAAGTCTGGAACACTATAAGTCAATATATTGTGAATTAGGAAAAAGTTAATTTGAACTTTCTGAAATATAAGCAATATTTCTTAATTGCTTTATACCAGCTCAGATATAATAATCCAATAGAGTAATTAGACACCTACGGTAGGATCCTTTATTTCTCCTAATTAGCACTCAAAACTCTACTTGATACTCTGGCTAATGAGGCTGAAGTTGGTCATTGGACATTTACCAACAGCTAACAGGCTAGGGTGTTAGAGACAGAATGTTCTATCATACAGCAATTATTTCATTTAATTAATGAAATGAGATGCTTCCTGTGGTTGAGGTATTAAACACAGGGTGGACTGAGTTAAATCAAAGTGATTTAAATACCCTATCTCAATAATTTAAATCAGCAAGCAGCTTGATTTAAATAATTTATTTTAATCTTGTTTTGCATTTGTAGTTTTTTATTTATTTTCCTAAAGAAAAGCTCATTCTCATTGGTTGCCAACCATTATAACATGTTGATTTACAACCAAATACAGCATTTACATAGGCTTGAAAAGATTAGATTTTTATCGGTATATATCAGTAAATATAAATTTCACCGTACCAATGAAAATCTATTTCTACCGATAACAATCACAATTTACAGATAGGCAAAATAAGAAAAATGCTGCTTGAGAACTTAGTAGAGTTTGATTTAGGGATGTTTACTTTGTGATATATTCACATATGATAGTGATAATTTGTGTTGTAATGGTTATAAAGCTTTAACTTTTTGAATCTCAACATCTGTCATTAAATAATTATTGTCCAACTCCCCTACCCATAATTTATCAGTTAAGTAAAACTACCTTAAATGTGTCATATACGAGGGGGAAAAAGTTTAACAAAACATGTTTTGCATTTAAAACTAACTGACTTCTTAAACAAAGGAAATTATTTATTAGGCTATAATTGACTATAAGTAGTGAATGAATGGAGTGTTTCTGGTCACCAAGGGCTTTTTCAAAAACATGTAGGTGTCTAAAGATGCAGATTAGGTGCTTTGTGATATTTTCAAAATGCCAGCCCATGACTTTGTTACATTTGTGAGAAGCAAGGCTGAGAAGATGGGATGGAGGACTATAATGCATCTCAGACAGCCACAGAATCAGGTGACAGAGAGAGTCACATTTGTATACAGAATTCAACTTCCAACCAAGAAAAACAAATAAGTAACATGAACAATGGGTAACTGTGAGCTGCCAAGAAGAGAGCTAGTTCACATATCCTTGTAAAGCAAGCATCAAAGAACCTAAGACACAATAGGCAATTTGGGCACTCATTGGGAGCCAGATAGCCAAAATATACAGGCTGAGGAGAATTGTTAGTGTTATCTCAAACAGATTGGGCTTTTGAATTTTTTAAGTGTAGTTCATTTATGAAAAGTGACTGTAAAAGAGCATTATTGGGTTCCATAGTTATTGTGAATCAATGACTTGTACATCAAATTGGTCAGTTTATGAGTAAAAGTGCCAGCCTCTCACATTCACCTGGAATCTAACAGTTAAATCTGGGTTCTTGCCTTCTCTGTCATATCAGTAGAATCATCATAATATTCGTCCAGAAGAAAGTAATGCAATGTGATATTGTGGAAAAATGTCTTAACCCCACGTTGTAAAATACTCCCTGAATGTTGCGAAAACACAATTGAAGAGTTTGTCCTGTTGGACAAATTTAGGTTCCAATCCAGCTATGCACTCGAGCATGTACTTAATTTTACATCACTTCAGAGGAGCTACTCAGGTGCTTAATTACTTAAAATCACTATGTATTACATTTAAATATTTTTTTAAAAAACATTGTTTTCTGAAGTCAATGGAAGAATTCAGATCTCAAGATTCCAGGCCAATGTAAGATGAGAATACTGCATAAATTACTCATTCAACCCTTTGGCCATGTGTTCCTCTACTACTCCCTTTAACCACCTTCAGAGTAGTGTAGACAACTTTTCAGACAGAACTGAGGGTTCACCAGTAAGAATACTCTTAAAAGTCTTCAAACCTTGAAGTCTGAGGTCTGCTTCTAAACACCTCAGTTGTCCCCATCTCAGAGTGGTCTCATTCCTACTTCCAGCATTCAAGGGTTCACACCACACACACACTACCTTGGCAACTAGCACTATCTGGGAACTCCCCATTATATGCCTTAGCCACAAATCAGCAGAGTGCATGAGTGGGAACTAGGTGATGTCCCTCCAAGTTAGACTAAGGCACATTATAGGGAGCAGGCTGGCAATCTTGCTCTGCCCATATAATACCTGGTGTGTGGATAAATAGAAAAACTGGTCCACCAGACTGTCAATCTAGCATCATTCACCATAAAAAAAAAATGTATAGGAGAAAACTGAGTTAATCCCTCTCACACACACCAACCCAGCAACATATGAAAATCACAAGATATTTCAGTAAGACACATTATTGTCCTAGCTGCATATTATATGAAGGGTTAGTGTCACACCATTTTAAAATCTAGGGGTACATCTATACAGCGATAAAAGACCCATGGCACAGCTGTAACTGGTCTGGGTCAGCTGACTTGGGCTTGTGGGGCATAGGTAGTGGGGCTATAAAATTGCAGTGTAGATGTTCAGCTTCTGGGGGGTGGGTCTCAGAGCCTGGGCTCCAGCCTGAGCCCAAACATCGACACTGCAATTTTATAGCCCCGCAGCCCAAGTTCTGCGCCCGAGTCAGCTGACCTGGGCTCTGCGACTCAGCGCCGCAGGTTTTTTATCATAGCGTAGACATACCTTCTGTGTAAACGGAAGGACAAATAATATTTAGGCTGGGTAAGGAAAGATTTTACCTTTCATTATAGTACACAATGATGTCACTTTTGAGAAGGCTTTAGCTTATTGAGCATACATTTTCATTGAATGCTCTTAAAAAAAAGTCTTAATTTCTTTGATAAACGTCTCTCAGGAAATCCTAGAGACACTTAACACCAAAGGCCAAGCTAATCAAATGAAAGCTCTCTGTGGCTGCTGAACTCAGCAAACAGAGTATGGTTCCAAAGCTGTGTAGCTACATTAACTTTTACAGAAATTGCAAGTTTATGGACTGTATTTCCTTCCTCCCAGGAACACCTGCCAACAAAGCCAACAGCTTTTTAAAAAAAATCCATTTTACATCAAGAACAAAGTCTATCTAAACAAAGATCCTGTCAAGATCTGAAAGAAGTAATACTAGCAGACTTCCACATCAGCACCACAAAGCACATTTGTTTGTCCTGCCTGGTGTATAACTTTCCTATTTGACTCCTTTTTGGAGCTAAAATTCTTCCTTTCATTGCGACTTGTATACTTGAGTTCTCTTACAATTTCCTTAAAAATATGCCACTATAACCTTTAACCAGCTAGCATCCGGGATAGGGGAAAATCCAATTACAGTAATAGTCTGAGGTAAGCAATTCTGATTTACTGCTAAAGCTCTTTAGCTCATAAATAAATCAGATGGCTTCTTCCTTTCCTTGTGAAATGAAAGTGTAGATACACTGTATTGTATTACAGATGCTGACAGTTTTGACATGAAATTGCCTTTTTGTAAATGAATGAGCAAATACATTAAATACTGCCTGCATGAGGTTGCTTTGGATGCATATAGAGAAGCTACTAAGTTAACACAAGGTTTCATGCTGATCAAAGTTTTGCTCCTTTTTATGCTGGTCCTAATACATCAGCAAGTGAGAGGCAACTGTGTCTATGTTCTTGTATAAGAACAGCAATCTGAAGGTGTTGCTAGGAGAATGAGGCCAAATGAAGACTGCCATCTACTATCAAAGAGTGTAATTCCTATGCTGTACAAATAAGTATTTTGACTGTATGAGGTTAAATTTATATATTCACATGCAAAAAATCCCCACCAGCCACCCCCTAGTATTTTTCCTCTCCCAATGGATTTTATTTTTCACCCCTAAAAAACTATTTCATCACAAAAAGGGAGAAGTCGTTTAGCAAGGAATTTTATGCATTCAGATTCATTTAAGCCTGAATACATCGCAAGTCTAGGGTCCCTACCACAGCGTGCATCAGTCTTCATGGTAGTACTCAGCAGTGGTGTTACATTTGCACCTATATGCCTTCAACTGAGACCAGAATCCCATTGTGTTAGGTGCTGTAATCCACCCCTGCTCTGAAGAGTTTACAACCTAAAAAGACTTGGGAGACAGGAAATATTATTATTCCAATTTTACAGATGGGGAACTAAGACACAGAAGGATCAAATGACTTACCTAGGATCTTGCAGAAAGTCTGAGGCAAAGCCAGAAATTGAACTCAGTTCTACTAAGACCAGTTCAGTGCCTTAACCACAGGACCATCCTACAGTTCAATGTCAACCCTCTGGAGGCTACGTCTACACTTTGACTGAGGCATGTGATTCGCAGCTTATCTGCACATACTCGAGGTAGCTCAGGAATAAACAGCAGCATAGCCGTGGCAGCATGGGCAGCGGCAACATTGACCCAGGGCAAGTATGTGTATACAAGCTGGGAATCACACCCCTCACTCAAAGTGTAGACATAGCATGATTCTGCTGGCAACCCTCTAAACTGTCATATCTGAGGAAGCAAA